AGAATTTAACACAAGGAAAGCAGCATGGAACTGAGAATCTTTTTTGGAGCTCAATTATAAATCTTTAGAAGAAATGTAAAGAAAATAGTAATTCTATCAGATATTCATCAATATATGTGGTTTGGTTGAATCAGGTAAGGTACAGGATACAAGAAAAACAAAATAGAATTGATAAGTCTAATTATAAAAAAGATACCAATAGCTGTGTATTGTTTTTTTTCTCTTAGACACAGAATTTAACACAAGGAAAGCAGCATGGAACTGATGATATCAGTTTATATATATTCAACAGTGGGCATTAAAGGAGAAAAGAAATATTTGTATGTATTTTGTTGATAATTTTAGGAGTACAGTTCTTTTAAGCCTACATAAGAAGCTTTTTAGGAAAGATATATGTAAGTTTAACTGTAAAGTTAAACAATAGGGGGTCAATAAGGAGGGATCTATCAACTTTAAGAGGTGTTGCCATTTTTATGGTAAATTAGATTTAAAATCTTAACAGTTTTAAAAGACATTATAAACCAATATGGAAAATTAATGGCTTCTAGGTCACAGCTGGCAATATGAAAGTGAATCAAGTGTGAAAATATTCATATATTAACTTATAAGTCAGGGTGAAATGTAGGTTAGTTACTCAAATGTATGTATTTAATTAGTGACAGTTATGTACAAAGCATTGTATTTTACTGGAGAATGGTGAAGGATTCTCTAGTGGCCTAATCTGAGTTGAGTTCCATAAACTCAAATTCAGCTTCTACAGGTTAAAAATTGAGTTTATATTCATTTCAACAAGTTTTTCTTTATTATTTACATTGGCTTAAAAACATTGGAGTTGTTAGCATGGACTTTATGTTAAATACTTTCCTTATTTCATTATTACAGTGACTTGAAGAGATGAGTACTATTGCCCCATTGTATAGAAAAGAAATTATTGTTTAAAGAAGTTAATTTCTCTGAAGTCCCAAAGTTAGAGTAGCAAAGATGGGCTTTCATTTTTAGGAACTTGACCACAGCCTGTTCTTCCTCTTAAATATTTTATTTCCCAGTCTGTCTTTGTTATAGTCTTTTTTTCTGTATATCCAAATGTTTTAACTTGTTTTAGGAATTTATTCAAAATATTGGGAAGTTGAAGTTGGGAAAGAGTGGGGAAAACCTTAAGAAATAATCCTGAAAAGATGGTGTTGGTAAATCTTATAAAAATCAGTAGGACACATATTAGTAAAAAATATATTTTTGGCTTTGGAGCATTATTGAAAGTTTCAAGAACCTAGAAAATATATATGATTTCTTATTCTTTTCAAAAGACATGACAATACTACATTTTAAAGCCATGTTGTAAGGATTGGGAGAGATTTGTTAAAGATACAAAATTACAGGTCCGGCGTGGTGGCTCACCCCTAATCCTACCACTCCGGGAGGCCAAGGCGGGAGGATTGCTTGAGGTCAGGAGTTTAAGACCAGCCTCAGCAAAAGCGAGACCCCGTCTCTACTAAAAATAGCAAGAAATTGGCCGGACAACTAAAAATAGAAGAAAAAAAAAATATAGCCGGGCTTGGTGGCGCATGCCTGTAGTCGCAGCTACTCAGGAGGCTGAGGCACAGGAGGTTGCTGACACCACGGCACTCTAGCCTGGGCAACAGAGCGAGACTCTGTCTCAAAAAAAAAAGATACAAAATTACAGCTAGATAGAAGA